TGCAGAAACTTACCAGGTTCACTGCTGAAGGCACCGGGTGACCTTGGCTTTATGTGCAAATAAATTATCACTTTTCTTTTTTCTCCTCCTTCCAATTCAAAGATACTCTTTTCATAAAGCCCAAGGGGAAAAATCAAGTAAATGTTAAACAAACGCATTTAAGAATAAAAGCTAAAGACTGAAACCAAGCAACATCTCGGCAGACTCAGGTAAGCAACGCAGGGGGGTGACAGCAGCCTCCGGTGTCGGGGCAAGGCCGTGGGAGAACGGGGTGCCCCAGGCCGGGCCCTCAGCAGTGGGTGGCCTGCTCCAGGCAGGGTTGGGCCTGGGGCTTCGGGGGAGTCCTCGATGTGTTTCCAATTTAGGGAACAGAAGTGCACCATAAAAGCTATTCACACACAGCCTGTCCTCCCCATGCAGCTGACCATGTCTCCAAACACCCTTTCCAGTGGGCGGTGGTGGTTTCAAGAGAGTCAAGAGACAGACAGGTTTGACCCTGGCTCCAGACCAGTAAAGCAGCAGCCGGAGGCTCGTCCCCGAACCTGGCGACAGAGGAGGGAGGGCTCAGCCCCAGCTCCTGTCCGGACGCGCAGAGAACAGAGTGCGTCTGTCCTCCTCCAAGTCTGGGCCCCCAGCACCAGGCCGCAGTCTCTCTGTTTGCTTTGGACTCACTTCAGTGGAGGGTTGTTGCGCATTTCTGACCTGCACCAAACGCTGCTTTCAGACCGTCCTGGGATGAGGAAATGCTGCGAAGCCAACTGGGGGCCAAGCCCTTCAGCAGAACGTAGCCTGAAAGTGCACTGCCTCCTCACGGCCTCCCTCTTCCGTCTGAGTGGAACTCCAGATGTTGCATGAGCACAAAAGGCCTGTGTTGTCCTCTGGTCAAGTGGGGATGCCATCCCCCACAAGTGCAAACAGCACCTACAAAGCGCCCCCGCCCACCAGCCCCGGCAGCGAGAACGTGGGCCCCTGTGCAGTCTTCTTTGTGTAGAACCAGGCTCGCTTAAGATACAGCTGTAAATTCAAGTGCAGACCTGCACCGCCTCACCTCCAGCCTCTTCCTCGACAAGTGTATCTTGTGCCTTTCTTATTCAATACTTCTAAATGCCCAATTTCTTGTCAGACTCCCAGGATTAAACTCCAGGTCTGCCACTTACTCCTTCGTGAGATGTGGAGGGGGCGTCATGAAGGCTCTGAGACTGACTTTCTGTGTCGGGACACGGGACAGTCTCAGCGCACACTCCCGAGGCGAGGGGAGGCCCAGGCCCCGCCGCAAACTGAGCACCCGCCCTCCCCGCTCTGCCTGCCGGCTGTATTGTTCTCCACGGCGTTTCCCCGTCTGACACACTGCGGGTTTATTACTTGTTATTTGTTATTATTTGTTTATCACCATTCCCTTCTCACTGGAATGTAAGTTCCATGAAAACAGGGTTTTTCTCTATGCACTTCTGTATTTCTGGCCCTGAGAACACTGCTTGACACACGATGGGGACAAATGTTTGTTGAATGAATGTGTGTTTCTAGCTCACTACATGTAGGACACAGCCCCTAAGGGTTAGCAGCCGTGGTGCGAGCCGTGGGAGGTCAGCAGCAGAGGTCTGCTCCCTTGTTTACAACCAGGAGCAAACAGTGTTGTTTTCACATGAAACAGTCAATGTGTATTTATAGATCAGCTTCTCCGAAGAACACTGAAGCATACTTTGCAAAATGTACTCTAAGCACCAGCATCAGATCAGTTGGGGGAGCTTTAAAGCAGATTATATTCTGTGTGTGTGTGTGTGTACATGTATCTATATACATATGTGCAGGGGAGACCCAGGGCCCTATTGCAAACTGCACCTGCCCTACCCTGTACACACACGGAGAGCCGTATACCTGTACACATACGTTCACCACATACACACACGTGGGCGTGGACGTGGTTTCCTCACTGAATCTGAATTCACTGCTGATAAGAACGGTATCTTGCTCTCTTTCATGGCATTCATGGTTGACACAGGAATCACCTGGCATCTTGTTCAAGGAACAAAGAGCTCCAGGACTCCTGCAGACACCTGGGTGCAGCAGTCCTGGGCACATCCAGCAACCTGCCTTTTGAACCACCCCCCATCTGATGCTGGTGGTTACACAGCACGTTCTGCAAAGTATGCTGCAATGGTCTGTGCAGAAGTCACTCTGCAAATACTTGTTAACTGTTTTCCCTAAAAAGAAAGAAATCAGTCTTTGTTCCTACTTACAAACATGGAGTCGAATGTAAATCATTTAAGCAGAGAAGTAACTCTTTGAAAGCTGTAAGGTGGTGAATTATCTCCAAGAGCCAGACTGTCAACTTTCAGGGGCTGCTCTGAAAGGTGCTTCTGCCGCGTGGCGTCTGGGAGGCTGGCTGGTGCCAGAGGTTTCTCCCCTGCCCTTGCAGGTGGCCACCTGGTCTGACTGGGGCTGAAGCCACACACCTGCAGTCTGCACCTGGGACACACCAGACAGAGGAGGGCGTTCAAGATGCCTCACAAGCGTGAGGGTAAAGTCCACGGCAAGAGCTGAAACCACGCCCAGTGAAACTCTCCTCCCTTCCCAGAGACCATGAAGCACTGCCTAAGACTGAAATGCATCAGAATGGTCACTGCGATCACTGCTTCCTTGTCAGGGGTGCAGGCCCCATGTGCATGGTCGGAAATGCGTTAGTCCAGAGACAGCCACCAGCCATAACCTTAAATGTGCCTTGGGGTGATCTCCTGAAGCGATCAGCCCAGTAAGTTATGGTAACTTCCTGCTGCCAAACTGTGGCAAGAGGTGCCTGTTTACCAGCACCGCTGAAGGAAGTGGGGCCGGACACTAAGCACCAGGGGTGGTTAGAACTTTGATAAAAACGTCAGGAGATTTTAGGAATGTATCTCAGGAGGCAGATTTCCTTTCACAGTGCAATGACATGAGTTCATCAATAACTGAGAACGGCATTAAAAATAGGCAAAGCTGAGTAGGCACAGAGACTAGACAAAGCGCCTTGAGTCGGGAAGGAGAGTCACTTCAGGGTAAGGGCATCATGGTCCAGACCCACAGGCCTATGCAGCCAGTCCACGCACCGCCCCGGGTGAGACTGCAGGTTACAGGCTCAGGGTTCCAGGTGAACTGGCGCTGGCACTGCGGACGCGCACACAGCAGATCAAGTCTTCTCACCTGCGCTGCCTCTAATCCACGGGGAGGTCTTTGCACCCCCCGTGATCTGGGGGAGGAGGATGACACTTCCGCTAGGACAAAGTGCTTTCTGTGACAATCGGCTACCTGAAATAAAACTGGGAAGTAAAGCTACACCTCATTCCTGGGCCACTGGACATTGTCATGTTTCAATGCAACATTGAGTCCAAGGCAACCAGTTCACTTTGTTGAACCCACAGAATTATATCAAGTCAATTATTAGTGGAAGTAATGAATGTGTTTCCATTTTATTATTTCAAAAGTTTTGTGGAACCATTTAAGGAGATGTTTTAGCCTCTAGTGGAGGCAATCTTGTACATTGGAGACATTCTTCAATTAAATGGTGAATGTATTTCCAGTCAGATTCTGAGTCACCGACTGCCAAGGAAAAACACTGATCTCTGTCTGGATAAGCAAGAAATGTTCAGGAGAAAACCTTGGGCAAAATAAATGAGTTGTGTTTTATTTTTAACATATAAAAGGTTCAGAGGCAGAGAGAACAGGAGAGAGACAGGGAGAAAGAGAGACCGTTTACATAAAATGTGTAGAAACAGACTACCAGGACCTCTCCCAGCCACTTAGGAGGCACGTTGAGCAGGGAGGAGAGTCCGGATTTATTCTGTATGAACACAAATTGTGTATTTCTTTTACAGAGAAAATGTATTTTCATGTTACTGGTGTTATTTAACAAAATACAAAAAGAAATCTATCTCACACTGTGCTTTTAGATATGTGCTAGTGAAAGTTAGCCATCGACACACACAGTAAATAAAAAAACTGTTAGAAGAAGATTCAGGAGGGAAGAAACGCACGCAAGCAGAGGGGCAGCTGGCTGTCAAAGCCCCAGACTGAGTCCGGTGGCCAGTGGAAGGCTGAACTCGAATGCTAATTAGCGCTCCGTTTGGCAAGAAGGATAAATTAAGAGAGCGGTTACTGCAGCAACAGAGGGCGTCTGAGGGTGTCGGGGCACCCCGTTATGGCAGGTGACATCCTTGCTGGTACACCTGTGGAATGACTTTACGTGGGTGATCCATTGCACTGACTCTCACCTGATAGTGCATGACCCTGGCTCAGAAGAACTGGGCCAGACAGGACCAGGGCACTTTTCACAGATCACATGAACAAGTAAACCAACAGAAAATACTAAGGTCATGTAAGACGACTCATTTTGTTGCCACCAGTTGGCACTGGGACTTCCCAGCTAGAAAGCTCGTTCACTTCACCTGCCCTCAGTGTGGAGGGGTCCCAGCAGGGTCCCACTGGAGACCCTGGGTGAGCCTGCCCCCGCCAGCCTCCTGACACCTTAGATGCTCAGGCACCGAAGCTCCGGTTCTGGGATGTTGGGCTCATGGCCCTCGGTGGCTCTGCCCTCACCTTTTCCTCACGCTACTCCATGAGAGGCACAGCCCAGGCCACTGGTCCCTCTTCTACCCAACTGGTCCCCAAGGACACTGATGTCCACTTGTGTTATTTTTATAAAACAAGCCTACGTTTCCACGTTGTTTACACAGTTACCTTAAAAAAGTTAGCACAAGAAACTGGGAAGCTGGGGGAAGAGTCTGGAGTCCACGTCGAAAGCCTACCTTCCTGTCCTCTATCCTGGCACTTAATCAGCGGTGTGATCTTACATTGAACTTCCCTGAGTGCATTTCTACAAAGCTAAGAACGGGAGAACAGATTAGCAATTTTTAATTTTTTAAAGCAGTAAAATTCTCTATTTTTTCTAAGTGTAATATTAAGCAGAAGCTTAATTTAAAAATGAAAGTAGGGTTGTTCTAGATTACAGGACCTAATATCACACTTCCTGCACATCGTGGAGGTCCCTGGAGCTCTGGAAATACCCACACGTGTTCCCATGAAAGATTATATGATTGTATCAATTAGCTCAACAGCAAGAAAAACAAGGGGGATTTGCACACAAAGACATGGCAAGGAAAAACCCATGTTGTGTGCAAAAGGAGATGCCTCAGCTCCCGGAGACAAAAGGTAAGAGTAAGCTGTGATTGTAAGGAAATAACCCAGGTTACTATTTACAGAGCAGGGAGTCCCAGCAGCTGATGGGGTGGAGGTTGCTTCACTGTAAACTAGAGTGACGTGTATTAGGACTGCGCATGGGTACGTGGACTGGCAGAGGCTCCACCAACAGAGGATTGTCTTTTGCATAAAACAGGCATATTTTAGGCAACACAGCACACACACGCATGCCCGCAAGACCAGCAGAGTCCCACTGGTCTGCTCCACATGTCCCGGGCTTAGCTTTCGCCTGAATGGCTTCCACGCAGCTCTCGCTGGGAGGGTGAGAAACAAAGCGCATCTGACCAAGAGCCACCGCCTCCCTCACGCTGGGCTCCCCTTTCCAAGGAGCCGATGCAGACGCACGCCAGGCAGCTGGGTCTCCACCTGACCTTCCCACGGGCTGCTCTCCCTGCACCACGCCTGGGGCTCATGTGCAGCGCCTCCGAGGTCCCTCCTTCCTGCTCCAGTGGGGCCTGAGCGAAGCCCAGCCGAGGGAGAACACAGGCCTGGGCAGCACCCCGGCTCCCTCCCTGAGAGTCGCCCCAGACTGACTTGTCCTCCCCTGAAATCAACCCTCTGCGTGGTTCTCACCCTCGTCCTCTGGGGCCTGGGGGTGTGGAGCCTAGGGGAGCAGTAGCCCTTGCGGTTCTCCGAGAGCCTGTGCACCACCTTGTAAGTGATGCGTCGTTACATTTCCCCTCGCTGTTCTGAGGACAAGTGCGTGTGTCCGTGAGCAGCCGGGTCTCTCTCTCCATCTCTCTCTCTCTCTCCGTCTGTCTCTCTGTCTCTGTCTCCCTCAGCCCCACCTGTGACCAGCACCCATGCCATCCCCTGTCCCTCTCACCTCGTGCTGCCCTCATCTCCAAATCCGGGACCTCAGGTAATGTGAGCCCCTCCCGGTGAGGACCAGACCCACCAACCCATTCTCTCAAGAAAGAAGAGCAGCCGCCCTGCCCACACGTCCGCTCTGCTCGGGGGAGAGGAAACGGCAGCAGCACCAGGCCGCACGGTGAGCAGCGGGCCCAGACACCTGCAGACACTGGCCCGTGGCCCTTGCGCACCGGGGCTGAGGAGGCTCTCTGTCTAAGAACAGGGAGGCGCAAAGCCCTGGGCCTGAGGCAGCCGGCGTGCGACCGAGGGGGAGCGTCCAAAGGAATGGCGTCCGAGAGCCACTGGCCAGCCCAGAGTCCCGTCCCCTGACGTGTGTGTGTGTGTGTGTGATGTACACACATGCGTGTTCACCTGTGCACGCATTGCACGTGCTTGTTTTAAGCCACCTGC